ACGGATGTCGGGCCCGGCAGATTTACGAGGTCTGCGTACGTGGAATCCTAGACGATGTATATCTACCGTCGGTGAGAGCCATGGTGTTCCTTGAGCCAGGCCATTTTACCTGGTCCAGGATAAGAGCCCCATCCACACGAGCAGGCGTGGTTCGTCGAGACCCCTATATTACTCTGTGCCACATCCACCCAAATCGTCAGATCTCAATACCATTGAGATTGGCTAGGCAGCCATGGACAGAGACTTCCCCCAAGGTCATACCCATAATCGTCATATCATCGTTGCCCAAGTAATTACAGCATGGGGGCGATTGCGCTCTGCTGAGGGACGCCAGTTAACGGGGTATTAGAGGCATCCATGTCACGTAGACTTGTCAGCGTTCGCCAAGTTGGTGGTGGTAACACGAAATATTAAAAGTATTATACATTGCAAAACTCATTTTTTCATCTTCAGTGTGCTTGAATTGTCGGACAACATCGTCATTACCATGAAACTGATTTAGGACTCAAGGTACTTGGATCATACATATGTGAAAAGGGATACAAATATCATGTCGAGCTCACAGTACTTTTTCCCACCGTTTTCGTCGTCGTGCCATATTAAGTCAGAAAGAGTAAAGATGCTTTTTTTAGCGAGTGTACAGTTACATGGCAAGGTCGAATATACATGCTCATACTTTGATACTTAGCGCATGTATGCGTGTTTGTTTTGAAACCTCAGCGACCGATAAATACCTGCCGATTAACACGTTTCATATTGGATCTTATCATTTTATGGTTCACACAAGGATGAATGACTGTAATACAGAACTTGAACAGGATCACAAATCCATGTCCATCCAACATTAACCTCGGAATTGCATTAAGGATAAGTTCGATGTGCGAAACTGAGCCTCGCCCGGGCTATGAGGGGAGCCCGGCCTGTGTCGACTAATGTCGACTCGCTAACAGTGTGTCAGCTGGTGCTGACTCGGCCTTTGTCCTTTTGTCGGTAACGCTCAGGCGATAATTGCAACTTCTCGCGCCTGGGCGGTGCGCGAACCGCCGACCCCTCGGATGAAAGGCCGACACGTTAACACTGTACTAGCCCGGAGGCTGGAACTGTAATTGTTTAGTAAAATTGCAAGTACTTCTAAATTCCTTTAACGCAATCCAATTCGTCCCTCTGTTGATACATTTGTGTTTATCATATGATCATAGTCACCATATGAACATTACTTTTGTCAAGTAAGTGGTATTAATGTATTATTGTATGGACTGATTGAAAATCCTATGGAGGAAATGGTTAAAGGTTAATAGTTAAAAGAAATAAATGTGCTAGACATCAAAGGTCATCCGCACGACATTGTTGTGACATAAAGGAGTCACATGAGCATCTAAGTGGGGGCGAGTTGGGTGGGGAGGTTTGAGAAACAAAGGTTTTCTTATGTAGAGTAGAAGAGGGAATACATGTCCGAGGGGCAGAGGGAGTGGTGGGTGTAGGAGAGGATGTGGTAGAAGATGGAGTGGAACGTTTAGATTGTCTGGCAGGACAGGTAGAGCGAGAATAAGGAGGGGGAGGGGTAAGCACCGGGAAAGTGGTAGAAATTGGAAAGTCTGGATTTAGACTAGAAAAGGAAGTTGACTGAAGGAGAGAAGTAGTAAAGATAGGTTGGTTCGGGGTAAAGCGGATAGATAATGGGGATAGAGATCCTAAGACTTCTTGAGAAGATGGGAGCAGAGCTGAGCGAAGTACACTCATTTACTTCTTACTATTTGAAGTACACTTTCAAATAGTAAGAGAAAAATCTTTAGTTTGAATCTGAAAACTACTACTTCAGATTCGAGGTTGTAGGCGGGATAGCTCCCATAAAATACGTTGTGAGCTCCCATAAAATACATTATGGGAGCCATCACAATTTGGTACACGTGCGTGACAGAGCAGAGTAATATGAACAGTTGTGACCAGATTGGACACATGCAGGGCAACGGGCTGTCGAGCGATAATATTTGGCTTGATGACTATAACGCTGTAACGAGGTCGATATGTGCGGGCAGAGTTGGACATTCCACCAATAGAAACTTCATGAGGGAAGTCATGTCTACGGAAGTTAAACTTGGCAATTTTGGGTAAGAACTTACGTTGGCCTCTGGGAGGAACAGTGTAGCACTATACTGTTCCTGCATCATAGTCAATGAGGCATGCGAGCAAGTCGTTTTCACAGTCTGACCAGTCCTAGTCGTAGACAAGACAGTCGGAGAGACGGAAACAGTTCCGTGAGTGAGGTTGGGCAGGAATAAGTTTGCAAGTGAGGTCAGTCAGGATAGATCCTGCACGAGCTTGAGACTCATCTGTAATTGTGACATGGCGCGAACAATCGAAATGACTGTGAAAGGAAACTTTGCCTACTTGTTTTTGGAGACATTGTTGTAAGAGCAGGATATTATCAGAATACGGGACTGGGCCAAAAAGGGTATTCAAAAGGTTTGCAGAGGTGGAAGCAGTAGAAGGACGAGGGTGGCGTGGAGAGAGGTAGTACTGTTGTGAGGATGGCAATAAAGACGAAGAGAAGTAATAATGGGATGGGGGTAGACTATGAGGAAGACGGCGCAGCAGTAGATGTAGTGGAATATATTGTGGGAGAGGAAGGTGTGTGTATTCTGAAGGTTGAGTAACCTGGGTGGATGATTCCGAATGGATCGAGTTAACGGCAGTCGTCGAGGTGGTATTAGTATCTGTCGGAGTCGTGGCCATCGAGGCAGGGGTCGGGAAACCAATGAAATCAAATTTAGATTAGCCATGGTGAGCCTGAAATAAATGGGGAGAGGAAACGGTTTACTCCTCAGGGTTTCCATGAGGGGTAAGGGCTAGACAATTAACCAAGGGAACACTGTGCCCTTGGCTCCTAGAGACAATTGATGACTGGCACAGCCTTTCATCATTTCAGCACAGCTCTCACACCTTAGGAAATGGACAGGAGATGATGGTTAATGGTTAAAAGCAAGATAAACGTGCTAGATATCTAAGGTCATGTAGCACTATAGTTAATGTTAGTGAAGGGTGGTTGAGTTAGTGATTAGTTGTCTAAGCTGGGCAAAGGAATTGGTGAGTGAAAGGGTTAATGTCGGGTGTGGTAATGTAAAGGAGTTAGATTAGATGAAGGATATGTATACGTTTGAGGAAAGGAAATGATGAAGAAGAGAAAGAAAGGGGAAGGAAAGACCATGCAAATTTAGTTTTGTGCCGAGGCCCAATAGGGTTGATCCCCTTCATTGGGCCCTAGTCTCCATCTCCTAGGCACCCTCCTCCCACGACGACAACGAGCAATGGATTTAGGGGGGGGGGGGGGGCTGTGGAGGAAAGTTCTCAGCTATGAGGGTAACGTAACTTCTTACCTCTCGTTATTGCAGTTCTAAATATGGCCTTCATTAAAAGAAAATAGTGCATGGCATGACCATACATGCCCCCGGAAACAGGAATTTCTTGCACTCAGAGCTGATTCAGTGAGGCTGGAGATCACAAATATAATTTTGAGTATTTGATTCTATTAAAATAAACCCAGTATGAAGATAATTGGGCAACTTGTTATGTAATCTTGTTATTTAAGGAGAAATAACACAACTAAACAAAAATGACAATGTATAGCACAAATCAACAAAATATTACAGAAAATAAGATAATATAACATTTCCATTGCATTTACAGCATTTATAAAATCAACAGAATCAGCCTTTGCCAAATACATGGTTTAATTGCGAGGGTCAGGTACAAACAGTGTATGTACTGATTCTTTTTATCTTTGGCATAATTTAAACTCTGAAAAAAAATTCTCTTGGAGGGGGGATCAATATACAAAAATCCTCAAGATGAAAAAGTACTTACATTTCAACAGAAACATGGCAAATACCCTTACATATCTTAATTTGCAAGTACATATACACAACAGCTAGCATTTCAAGCATATACACATAAAGATGCATATATACAAAGAAAGGATCCCAATTCATAATAAAAAACCTATAACATTAATCTCATCTGAAAATATACCAAATCAGGAATCCTTTATCTCTGAAAAAATACAAAAATAAAATGTAAATAATAAAATACTTTTACATGCACTAAACCAATGAGCACATATTTCATATGCAAAGGATGATGAACCAGTATCACTAAGGAAGAAATGTGCAGAAAGTAATAAAGTTAACACTTTGAACGTTATATATGAGGTTCTGTCTTCTGTCTATGACTAACAGCAGACACTGAACAAAGACAAAACATGGACATAGGTTACATTTTGCAAAACAAGATTCCATCACACTTCAAATCTACCATAGAACCATTAATTATACTTTCAATAGCTTTGTGAGATAGAACAAGTGACATGCACCTAGGGATATTCCCCAATAGGAGACAAGGCACTTGCTTTGCAGTAAAAGATATAGCAAGATGGCTAAAGGATGGTTCAAATACTTTGCACACAATCCTTGATACCTTTCTCCATCTTGCAATCAACCTGAAGTGTAAAGAATGACAGTTTACAGAGAACTTAGGAACCTTAATACAATTTATCTATAGTTTTCTACATCAGTAAGAAAATTACAAAACATTTATCTGGCTGACACATACTGTGATATTACAAATAATCAACATTATGTTCATATGTACCTAAATATGGAAATTAAATGTTTCGGGAAAAAATGGGACAATGGTGATTTTAATGTAGAAATATATATATATATATATATATATATATATATATATATATATATATATATATATATATATATATATATATGCAGTATTTATTTTATCCTTTCTTTCTTTTCCCTTCTGAACAATGGAAATGCTACTGTTAACATGGTATTAGCATACATGATACAAGGGAACAAAAACTAGAAAAGTTCATCCTATTCCTAAAATATGATGAAGTAATGATAATCACAATAACTACACTAATAACGATCTAAAGTATCCCTTGGCAAAAATAGGTTATAGTCATGAAATATTTTTATGTATGTGTATAAATTTACTACTTTTTTCTTTTCTTTTCTTTTTTTTTTTTTACCAATGATGGTTCTTCTTGCCATGTATAATCAAAAGAAAGTTGTGCACCTATTTCACCATAATACCTTCAATTGGAAGTTTCATATTTACAACTTGAAGTGAAAATACATGGAAAAATATATACAGTGGTTAAATTGTTACAAAATATATACAGAGGTAGTTCAACATATTCATGGTTCACAGGAAAAGCTCAGTGCTTCTTCTATTATTTAATTTTACATGAGTAAAGCCCATATTTTATACATCTTTTTCAATAAATAAAATAAAGGAAAAAATATGAAAATTATAATAAAATTTCGATATTCAAAATAATAGCTCTTCGAAAGTATGATGGCTGTCATACTACTCAAAAAAGAAAGGAAAAAATCACACATGAGTAGTTATGTCCACTAGTAACACCCATTTGCTATATATATCTATTTATAAGAAGAAAATTTCTACACTTGTTTCTCTTCTTCGTATTCCACACTTATTAGTTTAGCTGTCATACAGAGAAACTTGTTGAAATTGGATATTTTTACTCATGATGAAAAATGTACAAGATCATTTCCATCATTGCAGTATATAAGAAAAATAAATAAATAAATAAAAAAAAGCCAAAATTGTCAATATTTGTACCCTATTTAACAATGATCCCTGAATCTCAAAGGCTGTCAAAGATGAACAGTACCCTTTCCTCATTATCGCTTTTTTGCTAGCTAAATGCAATTATTCATATGATACCTGTTTATATCAAAGTTGAACGATAGTAAAAAGCTTTATCTCAGTGAAACTATCAATCAAAATATTTTCAATCCCATGATATCTAATTAAAGCTCAGAATCTTAAGAACCAACACCAGCCATCACAAAGAGGTACAGATCCCAACACCACAAAGGTAACCCTAAAACAGAAAAGAAATATGAGAGAGCCTATGAATCACATGAGGGTTAAAGTAAAGAAGTACATACCAAAGAAAAGAAATGAATCAATAGAGTATATTTTAAGCAACATACAGGCAAACCCCAATCCCAAAAGCTTTCAACTTGGCATCAAAGAAAGGTTTCCCATGCTCAGTCTCTTATTTCAGTCCTTCACTTCTCACAATTTTAATTATGATACTGAAATCTGAAGTTTCTTGAAGGACAAGATGCAGAAACTGTTTAAAACTCTAAAGAGATCGTAGAGTATGTTCTGTGTACTGGTATAGGCCGTTAGTTGTTTACATTCACAGTATCCCTTGCATGCTCTCCTTGTCATAAGTCTACGTACACCTGGGGAGCAAAAGTAAAAGCAATATTATTTAGAATAAAATTAGTAAAGTACATTATGAGTCCTGAACCACAATGAATACTATTACTTGTACATAATATTTTCTGTAAATAAAGTTTTAGATTTGTGTAAATTATATATACAACTTTTTATTTATCTTCGTCTACATAAAAACAGTATATGGAAGGTCAGTATATTAATAGGAGGGACAAATATGAGATTGCAAAGGAAATGCATTTCTCATAATGCTGCTTTTTCCACTGGAAACAGAGTAAGCTCATACCTCTAACAATGACAGCTTAATAAACTGAAATGTTACAGGTGGTAAACTTACATATTCCTTCTGGATTGTGGGAGAGATCCACAATTCTTATCGAATCTTGTTACTCAAAAGTATAACAAACTTCACAAAAATCATACCACAGATATTTATCTTAATAAAATAAGTCCTTTAAAATAATAATAACAAAAGAAAACAGGATAATCAATTCAGTAGCTATACTACTATATGTTGGAATATAAACAGTATTCTTTGCTTACAAATATGAATCTCCTGTTTCCCTAGTGAGGCATTAGCACAATTTTTTACAGAGATATTAATTTCTTGTGACAATCAAAGTTTAATAACATATAGCCTAATAAATCTTACACAAGGGAATGTTTTAGGTTCTTTAATGCAATTACCCAGATGTTTCTGCTTGTGTATACCTTCAAGACAAATTTTAAAGCCAAATCCATGACTCAAGCTGTTGATAAATACTTGCAAGAGTTTCACAATTTAGAGAATAATGAGTTCATAAGTCATGATGAGAGTCTGTCATGGCCTAAGATGGTATCCTGCAAAATAGCACTTCCTTGAATTTAGAAGGAATGGAGTCATCTGTTTAAAAATCTTAAATCAATGCCATCAATGAGTAAACTAAGTGCCTCACTCCCTTTTGTGAGAGGAAGAAGGAGTGGGAGATGGAGAGGGAGAGGGAGAGGGAGAGGGAGAGGGAGAGGGGAGAGAGAAGAGAGAATAATAAAAAAAAAATTAGTTCAGCTGAATGTCAGAACTTGCACATTTGGGTTAATGTGCAATTTCATACTGATCAGATAAGTGTGAAGCATCACACAGCAAGGAGGACTGAGAAAAATGTAATATTATAAGAGGATGGTATACATAATTAAAACAAAGACAAACAAAGCCCTAGTAGTTACATATATTTCTTCAAATTATGTCCAAATATCTTAAAACTGATTAACAAACAATTTCTTGGTTACTTGCTATTTCTTATACTTAACAGAAAGGATATCAGGGTGTAATTTTATATACTAAGAGAAAGAACTATTTCTTAAATATTTCCCCTCTTTCAAGTTTTAACTGTCTTTTTCCCATTTAGCACCCTGGGTGACTAGAACTTAGCAGATAGTATGCAAATATCCCAAATGCTTAAAATGGTAATTGACCAACATTAATTCAAATTAATCACTTCACCTCAGTAAACAACATTCATTACTTTTTGCACAATGCACCATTAAACTTACGAAGGCACAAAATTGACATCTTCCTTACGAACTATCTTTCTCCCACGTGAGCTCGTCCCTGCCATAAGGAGTATACTCGTGGGAATGGCACCAGCAGCCTCCGAGCTAATATTCAGACCCTGAAGCCGACTATCTAGAAAAAGTTTTTGAGACACATTAACAGTCTTCTTAACCCTTGCATCTGGCTTTCTTCCTGGCCTGATTATCTTTTTCCTTCTTACTTGGGAAGTCTGTGTCACAGAAGTAGTCTTGGCTTCCAGAGCAGCAAACATGCTCTCTCCTGAATGATGAGGAGAGGAAGGGGTAGAAAGTGGGCTTCCATCATCCAGGTCCAAGTCCAGACTCGACTCCTGTGTTATAAGGGATTAATCGTTTGATAATATGACCACTGATTATTTGGCATGGGTTAGTAGGAGTTATCATGATGTTGTTATGACTTTATGGTAACTGCCTGTTTTTTTGTCATGATAATTACTGCCAACCTCTCCCCAGTAACTTGATCACTTGCCCAGTTCCTCCACTACCCCTCAACCCTTATTGTATTCAAAGTCAACAAATTGCACACAATACAGGAAACCTTATATCCTTCCCTGAAGCAACAATAATGTATGTCAGCATTTTTATTTTCAAGGCAAGATACATGACAATAATATCTTGTATTTTACAAGAAAAATAACTGAATTCTGGAATTATGTAACAAGCCTAATTGGAAAACTAACCTGCTTCATATAATGAATGTTGAACTAAATCATGTACATCATTGTAAGATGTACATTGGAGTTTATGGGTTAACATGGATAATCTAAATGTATTAGATCTGAATTCTATATATATTCTTTCACAGTTTGTTGAGAGACTTGTCATTTAATGCCACACTCCACTATCACATAATTCCATATCAACAATTATCAAAACTAAATGTAAAAGAAGGTGCAGTTAGGTATTACTTACAGTTGAAGAAATGCTTATTGCATCTTTATCTACCTCTGATGGTTTCCAGTTCTTTTCAAATACCTATAAATACAGAAATCAGATGAAACATATCAAGATATAAAAAACAGTTTCATGCTGTCATATTCATCACTTTTTCTATTTTCCTCTTAATTATTAAAATTCATAAAAAAAAATCATGATGAAATAAATCTGGTTAAAAAATGCATTTCCTCAAACATTGAACTATAACTTCATAATAATAATGATAGTAAGATATTACTCACAATTCTGGCAACAGGATACTTCATGTTTGTTTTGACCCATTGTTTCCAGTACATTTTGGTGTCATCACCTTGATCTACAAATCAGAAACAAATGAAAATGAAGGAAGAGAAAAATTAAATCAACTAGCACTATTCATCTTTGGAGAAAAGAAGAAAACAAACAAAAAGAGGCAGAGATCTACCTGCAATCGTTGATGCCAGTCTTTTGATCAACATGCTCCTCTCAGCTCTTACTTCCTCTTCTTGAGCAGTCAAACGTATTTCCTCTTCCTTCACTTCTTTGCAAACCTTGGTAGCCTGTAAGTGTCAATAGAATCCTTATTTCTGGCTTAAACTAACTTAAACTTAAACAAACACTGAATATATCAGTCTAGTGCCATTATGTTTTAATTCACACACAGTTTTATTTTTTTGTTTGAAATACTAATAATTACAAGACAATTCAGGCAAAGAATGCACTTCAAAAATCAAACTTCAAAACTGGGAAGACTTTTACTACTGTGCACATACTCTTGTACAAGTCATCATGTGGGGCACTTACAATGCTTAGGACAGCCACCTTGGGCACAGGAACCACCTCAGCAGATGACTGTTCTGGTGTGTATAAGGCCCAATACTGGAGGTTCTTGAAAAGCCTGCCCATGAGCCTTCTTCTCATTCTTTCTAGCTCATTGTGTACCACAGCACTGCGTTCATCACCAATTCCTTCTATCTCTGAAAACTTTAGTTGACCATGTTAATGATTAAAGTTCTATGATGCACAAAATGGCCAGCTATTATTCCATTTTTTAAATAGGCTCTGATAAATGTAGAAAAATATGCAATCATGCTTTAACCCAAGACATATTCAGCCCATCAAATCACTGACTATTTAAGTCATCCAAAAACTAAACTGTACATGAAAGGTAATCATGCATAACACCATATTCATTGTTTAAGTGACAAGCTTCCCTTTTTAAAGGATAGATGTGAATGAGTACAAGCATAAAACAGCCGCATCAGGATGTAAGCCAGACTTTCCCACATACACATCCCAAGACAATATGCAATAGTTTAGCACTTTCTGCTGTGCCTTTAACCTTAAAGAAAAGAACCCTTGTGTACTTTAATTGCTATCGGGTATTGGAACATAATATAAATAAACAATATATGAATGTTGTATTATTGTTTTACCCTTTTCTGAATACGGAGGGGATCCTTTTTCTTGACCAAAACAGTGGGAGTGCTCTGTTTTGGCTTCACTGGCTGCTTAATCCCTGATGGTCCTGGACGTGGTTCTTGCTCTGCTATCCCTTTCACAGTAGGAAGTGGCTGTGGTGATGACAGATGAAAAGTGAGGATTACTTTTTTCCTTCTGCATTGGTAGTTATTGTTGGAATAGGATAGCTACAGAATTTAACCTTAAAAAAAAATGTTATTGTTTCAGACTCACTTTCCTAATATATGTAGGTTAAATCAAACTCTTGATTCTGACAGAAAGCAACCAAAAATATCCACACTTACTTTATTCTGATGCATCTTCTTCTTGGAACGTGGACATGGACGCTCATACTTATGGTCATGCAAGTCTGCT